TCTGTAATATTATATACATCTTTCTGGTACACAAAATGGTGACAATGGTGATAGCCCACAATGATCTTTTCTAAGATTAGGATAGACCCTTCATATGAAACCAAATAATAATAACATTAAAAAAAAAAGGTCTTGGTATATCATTCATGCCAATAGGTTTGGACTTGAATTGCTAGAAATAATGCCACGTTTTGTGTGTTTTTGAGTGTGTCGTGAAGGGATATCTTTGGTTGACAATTACAGCACCAAAACAAATACAAAATCAAACTTAGTGAAAATTTCAAAAGCAAAAGATACCACCAATTAGTGATTGGGGTAGAAAGGTCATCGTTTAAGGCACGACTTCTTAGTTTTCAGCCATCTGTTTCTTTGATATTTTTCTTTTTTCTTTTTTTTTTTGTTCAAACCATAAAACCTACGCACCAAACCAATTATGTGCGTTGATTTTTGTTTTTCTAAAGTATAGTATAAATTGTCATGCTAACAGTTATCTAGTAGTTATAGCGACTGGGCGTTTATGCTGGTTTCCTAGGTAGCTGCCTCCTGATTTAGGAGCCATATTTAGATTGGTTTTTAGAGTTTAAACCAACCAAATTATTTTATGTTCGGTTTAGTTTCCAATAATGCATGCAAACCAGCTGCTAGTAGCTATGGAAAAGTCTGCGCACCATAAGTTAATGAAAACTATCTAATAAAGATAGTGTGGTACTATTTGATATTTTTCGTGGTGCATTACAGATATATACTCTCTCCGTCCTACAAAAATAGTTCACATTGAGTTTTAAGTTTTGTATTATTTTAAGTATAAATTTGAAAACTCAATGTGGACTATTTTTTTAGGACGGAGGTAGTATATTTTTTTAATCATTACTCAACACACAAAATTAGGGTTTTGTGGCTTGGGGAGAAATTGCCGTTGGTGTTTAATTAAATTTGGTTAGAGCACAATTAATTTGGCGTGGTCACTATTATAAATTAAATTTCAAATTCAGCGATAACATTTGCTAAATATTTCAAAATTATCATATTTTGAGTCCCTTGAGATGATCATCACATTTGGACTTTATTTATTGCTTGCACGTACATTTATAACAAGTTGAATCTTGATATACAAACTCAGGAAAAGCTCCTGAAAATAATGATAATAAAAGTATGGTACTAAGATATACATTTTCTCAATTCTAAAATGATAGACGCAAAACATGCAACTATTTCGAGAGTGAAAGAAGCAAGTGATAAAGAAATAATTGTTTCAGCAGTATTAATTTGGATTATGAAAATCAGTTAATAATTAATAGCAGGATCAGTAAGCAAAATTATACCAACTCTATCTCGAAGATACAAATTTCTTACAGACTTTTCGACATCCACCATTTTGAGGCCCTAGATGAATAGTTTTTCCTTTGTTTTTTTTTGAAATTAATGAAACATGAGTCAATTATCAGAAGTCAATATATAAAAAATACCATAAAACTGATTTCATCTTTATAATTTACGAGTAATTATAAACCCTAATATCTTTTGATTGAATTATTGGCTATATTTACACCACTACTACTAGATGACGGGCTTCAAATAATGCTTTGACTAGAATTTTTTTCTCTTAAAAGGAGAATAAAAAGGAAAAGAAAAACCTAATTCTGAATTAACAAGGTCATCTTTAGGACATAAAGGGTTGAAGGAAGCTTCCTGCGGAACTCGTGTTGTTGCCTTCTGGACTCGGAAAAAATTGTACATTTTGGCTAAGCAAAAGATTTTGTTAACCTAAGTGGAAAAAACACGTGGCTAGTATAGTTAGGTGATCTCCTTTTCTCTCGTCCTTATCTACAGAACCTATTGATTTTGTTATATGTACTAAATTGATTGACTTGCAAAATAATCATATCAGTTTCATGTGGTCAATTACCTACTAACTGCCTTCCGTCTTAGTTTATTTTGAGTTGACAACCTTGTTATCAATTAAGGGATACTAGCAAATAGTTATCGCAAAAACAAACAATAAAATAAAATAATAATGTGAATTGAATGACAGCCTAGTAATGAGGATGTTATATTTCTTGATATTAGATCTGAGTTCAATTCCTACTACTGAACTCACATTTAACTGGGATTTACTGGGGGGAATTTTATTTTTAATAATAAAATAAAATAAAACAGTGATGATACGTGAAAGAATAAAAATGATCAAATAATTACCGATATCGACTTAAAAAGAAGTAATTTGTGTTTTTTCCGTATGCAATACAAGCGATTAATCAGTCTCATTATACGTTTTTCAATGGCTGAAGAGCATCAAATTTATTGCTTCACATCATCAGTTTATTGGATGTTTACAACACCTAAAGAAGGGAATCAAGGGACCATTGAAATAAAATGGTACTCACTCTATTTTAAAATAAGTGTCGTCCTGTACTTTGCACATAGTTTAAGAAACTCTTAAATAGAGTAATAAAATTACGTGAATATCCTCAACCAACCCTATTATAAAATTGTCCACCAATAGCATCAACTCTTTTAAAGGTAATTTTAGAAACTTTTGACAAAAAGTGCATTGAAATGTGAGAACGACACTTATTTTGAAATTTCTCCATTTTGCTAAAACGACACTTATTTTGGAATGGAGGGAGTAACATGCTAATTTGGGTTGTCATAGCAAAGTTGGTAGTTTGATTTTTCCTCATCATGATGGAAACCCTTAAATAGGTATATATACCATGTTAAAATTGAGACCAACGAAAATGGCGTGTTTTTTTTTTTTTTTCTCTGTTCCAATTGATAGCTTGCAAAGGTCCCTTTACCTCAATTATGAAATGGACATGTTCAGAAGAATTGATACCTTAACCAAATGAAAATAGTGACAACGAAATCGATTTCTATTTCTACCAGGATCCTAACTCGAAGGTAAAAATGTAACTACAAAAGTCAAACGAAAAGATAAAAAAATACACAATGACTCATCTTTTTATACTTTAGAGATTACACACTTATCAATTTAGTGCCTTAAAAGCAAGATGCAACTCGTTGTAGGAGTATGTAATGATATACTCCCTCCCTCCAGTCTTTATTATAAGTCATTTTGACTTTTTGTAGATTTCACATAATACTTATTTTTAATTGATAAAAAAACTTAAAAATATATTTTTATATACGTTGTGTTCTCTTGATTGATATTAAATATTTTTAAGGTTTTTTCGTCGATTAAAAATGCGTACTACATGAAACTTAAGACAAATCAAAGTGCTTTATATTAAGGACCGGAAGTAGTATTTTGTAGGATTTTGAACTCATGAATGAAGGAGATGATATTTCCTTTTCACTAAACCCGAATTGTATCTAGTATCACAACCACCTGCAATTTTATTTTATTCTTTTACCGCAGGATAAGTTGCCATGGGATTATTTTCGGGTAATTAATGAAGAGGTTCGAATTCATCGTCTCTTCGTCAGTACTAAAATTACTCTAGAACGCTCCAATAATACTTCATTATCAGATGGTAGAGGTTGTTCATATCTTCTCTATGATTTTTGTGGGCGGGAATCTTCATAATGTGATTGTTGAACGGGAAGAAAAAGTTGTGGTTATTTTTGAGATTGGAGTGATTTTCCTTTCATAATAAGCTAGGAAGATAAGAATGGCGATGTATAGAAGTAACTGTTGTTCTCCAATAATTAATCTTGGCCGAAAGATAGCCTGAAAGGATACAAACTAGCTAGGGATCCAACTAAAAACATAGCAGTGATTCATGCTCAGAAATTTAGTGAGATCCCGGGGCACAGCTGCCCCCACATATCATCATGCAAAAGGATACTTGTATATTGAGTATGTCACCTCAGATTATCTCATATATTTTTTCCGTCCCAAAAAAAAACATTGAATATAAAGTCTAAGTAATGAAATAGTGTCTCGCGGAGGTTCAATCACATCATTACATCAAAGTTTTAATTTTTCAAAATAAAATTTCAGTGTCAACCGGGTGAAAAATTTCATGCAGATATTATACGAGAAGTGATACACGGTAAGCCTATTAAGAATTTAAGATAGATCACTTATGTTACATAAAAATGCTATGTTGTAGACGTGATCTTCCTCCACAAGAATAGATTTTTTTTTTCTTCTTCCAGCAATTTCAACGAGGAGAACCGAACGTGAACCCTTATCCATTAGGTTTGAAAGATTTGGTTCTTCACATGCAAGATACCGCCTCATCTATGAAACGAATATGTACCAATATCCATATGTTTTGGTGGTGGATATGCTTCTAAATTTGTTTTCTTTCATCAATGAGGCCATTAAAATTTACATAGACCTGGTTTAAGGTCAATTGTTTAACATTATCTACATCAATAGGTCAGATTTTTTTTTCTTTCCCTTTTACCTTTTAGGGCATTTGAAGAAAGGAACATCAAATGAGACGTGTTTAGGAGGAATCTTCACAAGATATTCTCTTCTTTTTCTCTCATTTTAAAGGTACACATGCATTTATTTTTTGCATTTGAACTTGAGCATATTCCTCAAGGACTCTTGGGTTGGGCCCTTTTTTTGGGGGGTTTAATTGTACTAATTTGTAAATGTAAAATTGTCCTTAAATGGTCAGCTTGTCTTTTTCTTTTTGCCCCCCTCATCGATTTCCTGTAGATGGCTATGCCCCAGCATTAGTAATTTCAAATGATAAAATATAAAAACTACTGTCCTGATTGTCATTTGGAGTAATATAGCAAACGTAATAATCATTTTTTAAAAAAGAAAATAATTGAAAAAGATAAAGACTTCTGAGGAAACCAAAAGAGCCCGGTGTTTATGGAATCCGAATGCTCCATTTTGGGCTCTTGATGCCCGCTTGATGCCCAAATGGGGTCCGTCCTATTTTAATCTAATAAACAAAACAATTATTTTCGGCACCAAAAAAAGTAATTGTAAATCACATTGATCAAATCATGTAAAGACCTGTACTTGTTTAATGCAATTTTCATAAAATTGTCATGCAACTACTGTAACGAGGGGGAAAGAAACATAAAATAAAAGTTCATACAAAGAGGACTTTGTTAATGTGTTCAAGTTCATTATTCAACATGGCTAAATCCAACAGTAACCAAATTATTTGCAAACTAAACCAGAAATTCATCCAGAGGAACGAGTTTACTGTATTTGTATGGGCAAAATTCTTTGAAGGTTAGGCAGAGTCCGTAGCAATGCAAAAAATGATCAAATGGTATACAATGCGCAAAACCTTTCTACAAGAATAACAGGCAAAAGAATAAGGCCTAACATGGTACACAAATCTGCTATCGGATATTACACGTCCTGACTGAACCACGCTGGGGTCCATGTTCTATCCGTGGAAAAAGCCAGTAACAGCAGCCAAGTATCCAGCCAACTGTACAAGAGGAAGAGAGATATAACCAAGACCTCAACCTCAGAAAAGAAAGCCATATTTCAACAGTTGGACATGGTGTTACCTGAGATAGAATGCCATGTCCAGTTTGAGCTTCAATTACTAATCCTGCGGTCAGACCAATCATGGCCCATGCACCATTGATGGCTTCAATTTGACGTTGTCTCTATACATTTTCATAAAAGACTAGATCAGGGATGATTCGACTTTCTAGGAAAAGTGAAAATTCCAACGAACAAGGCCGTGAAAAAGCAGCTACCACGCAGAAATAGGAAGACTAAACACCTGCTTTGTAAACTGAAAATAGAGAAGAGAGTATATACTGTTAGGGGTTTAACTTACCTTGAACCGCTCCTTTGCTTTAATTCGTTCCATTTGTTTCGCTGCTAATCGCTTGGCTTCCAAAGGATCAACCATGATAATCTCTTTGCCTGAACTTCCTTTTCTTGGAGACCCCTAAACACCTCACAAGTAAAAGAGTGAATGTCAGACAAAACAATATAAACAATTGAACTAAGTAAAAGATGAAACATTTCTTATTAGGTATGCGTGATTCAGCTAAGTAAACAATGCAATGTCTCTCTGTAGATTAGCAAGTAGGACTAAAAAGAACGATGTGTCTTACTATTCTAGGAAGTTCAGTTAAAGAATTAACGCCAATGGAACTGCGTAAGATAGTAAAATTGTTCACTCATTTGTAAGAAATTCTTGGCCCTAATGCAACTGATCATGAAATAAGTGTCAACTGAATGAAAACTACCAAGATTGAGAAGACATAATCTAACAAATAAAGTCCTGTGGCCGAGAGAATTGGGTATCTAAAAGCCAAAATTACAGGAATAATTATGGAGCTAGACATGCTAATGTTGACATCAATGTTTGAAACCAAAAAAGAGTATAAGATTACAAATTCAAGTTGCACATACTGAGAATGAGAAAAAGGCTCGAGCAGATAAAGCATTAAAAAGAAGAAAACTCCTCTAAGTAGGAACAAATAGAGGATCGAACTTAACAGAAAGACAACTACAAGAAGCTTTTTTCCAACTTCGTGCGGTCGGTTATATGGATCATATGTCGGTATCGTGCTCGGTCCATACATAAATCAATCATTCAAATTTAAATATTTCAAATTGAACTTAACAGAGATATCTCCTCAAAATATCATCTGTCTTACAACAAATAATTCGAGAATAGTGACCCCTTTTCTGCCGTTTTCTTACTTATCACAGACCAAATACTCATCTTACTTGGCTCCAGGCATTCGAAAGATTCGGTCCCTTAAGTTTGCAATAATTAAGGGGATTCTAGCATCTCCACATTTGCCAATATGTTAGTTTGAATCTTCTATCAATGAAGAAGTGCATGACTTAATAGCGAGTAAAATTAGTTTTTACTCGGTGAGAACTGACTAACAAGATGACTGTTATCCCACACAGTTTCTGAATCTCTCAAGATAAGTAGCATTCTTGTATCAAAATTGTTGTGAACTTGAGACTATGTATGACTGATTGCACCAACAAAAAGGGACAAAAAGAAGTAATAAAATCTGCATCAGGAGGATAAAATATCACATGCTAAGATACCATTTCCAATGAAACACCAGGACTTACTCACAGACAGTTTTGTACACGATTCTACCAAATTTTATTGGTAGCATAATGCAGAAGCCTTAGTCGATGCATACATTTGAATTTGCAAGAACAAGAACTGCTTGATTTTTTGTACTTTTAGGACTCAGCATTGCAGCATCTCTTCTTCTCAATCCCGATCTGAAAAGAGTGAAACGTGGGATCAAAAGAGGATTTTGTTTCAAAATTAAACATGCATAAGCTACACAAAATGCAGATGTGGCCCAGATATCAGCAGAAGAGAAGAAATCTTTCTCTGACGAGTTCTTCCAACAAAAATCATGAAAAACAGATGCAATAGTCTGATACAACTATAACAACTCTTGGTACTCCCTCAAACTAGATTCCTGCCTGACCTTTCCCCAGTCTAACTCAAGAATAAATACAATATGAACCAACAAGTGATTCTGTTCCCGACACAATCAACCAATAAAAGATGTAGTTCGGTATATCACTCCCAATCGATATGAGTCCCTTAAATATCTCACATTAAAATTGCTAAGAGCATAAAACCTTACATGAATCACTATAAAACCATGAGAGAACTCTCAACATCGGTTCCTCCACCTCAAGAGCCAAAGAAGCTCAGTTCGAGTGGACATTGTGAATACCCAAATGTTGAACAAATAGTTTTCAAAAGTTCCAACAAATTTGAAATGACAACTCAAAGTATAATAACAATAATGCTCAGACATGAATAAAATTTCAATCTAAGACCGCTCGCAAATTCTGATCCTGACATTTAATTTTAAAAAAGGTACGTTCCTTTCTTCGACGGAGGGGTTACTATAGAATGCCTAAACAAGAAAATACCCAAGGTTAGCCGAGAAGTTTTAGAGGAAACCTGATCTAATGGGTCAAAGCTCAAAAAATATCAGTACTTCATGATCAAAATAACTTGGCATTTTATTGATATTTTTCTATGTAAACTTCCATAAATCCCATCACACCAATTACAGAGTCATTATCTATAGCTAGAAAGTAGCCAGCATCATAGAAAAGCATGAAACCAGCTGGTCTACTTAGTTTGTATGATTCTTTGACAAAAAGAAGACATTTTTGAAGCAGTGAATTATTCCCATTACAGGATTTGCTTCATCCGAATAAAAGGAATCACTTCTGCTCAACCCACCTCGACAGTAATCAACTTAAACCAAAAGATTAAAAAACAAAAATGAACTCCGGGAAATGATAAATTGGTAATGTAATTTGAAGCCAAGCGACCCTATATGTACTAAAACTAGAATGCAAGGAAAATTTAACAGATAAACCCAAAAGAGACATAACCACCATCGACCCTACGACGAAAAAAGAAAGTAGCAAATTCAAACAGGAAACCATTAAAGAAGAGGGGCAGGGGAGTTTTACCTCAAAACAGAGGAAGAATGAGGATCAGTAAGAAATAGTGCTCGTTTTGAAGGAAGAAAGAGGGCCTCCTTATTCATTACTGGCAAAGTTGAGCAAGACAGCATTTTCGCAAACTCTTTCTGAGGAATTGAGAAAATCTCACCTTTGTGTGTGTGTGTGTGTGCGGGGTTCTGGTTTTGTGAGTATTTTATCCAGCAGGGGATGAAGCAGAAGGTTTGACCATTAAATTTGATGGTCCTAAACGTACAGCTTTATTGAGACTTATTACTCACCCATTAGTTTGCAAAATTTATGAAATACACCCAACTTTTATACAATAAGTCTAAACTGTAAACTATTACATAACGGGACCATGGTTTAACTCCAAGTGGAGGGCACCTCGCCTCGGTCCTCAGTCGCTAACGAATAACGATGCAAGATAATCCGCTACAAAATTAGCTTGTTGGTACTCATGTCGAATCTCAACTACCCAATCTTGTTGCAAAAGCTGTCAAACTCCCCCAACAAAACCAGTATTAACACCAAACGTTCTTTCATGACTTTTGTATCATACATGAAATTTGTATCTAATTGAAAGGATTGTATTAGATGAAGTTTTTAAACGTTTAAACGTGATCATGTTAAAACACACTGGAGTGGCAGATATTATGTCACTAATTAAATCCAGGTAACAAATTAACCAATAAACTTCGTTGATTCATAGATGAGATCCACTGATTTTTTAAGAAAAATGGTAACATGCATTAAGAGTACTAACCCACCTAGCCAATCACTACGGTATGTTTACATGGCAAAACAATCAATAAAGACGTAATCTCTGATCCTTTCATCATCTCCTCCAGACGTGCATAATCCCGAAATAGTTCTGTTAGAGCAAAAATCCTGACTTAGAGCGGAGCAATTGTATGTTCCATTCATGATGAACTCAATGCAAATGTGATAACAATTTCAGTTGGTCTGGTCTGGCGCGGCTTATACAACAAAAACACTCAAGAATTCCAACTTTCAACCATCAAGAAATCAGTTGCTAAAAAGAGAGAAACGCAACTAAAATAATCCAACCATCCTGTGGTTAATCTTCTCATGGCTGATGCAAGACACAGCTATACTTACTATACCAAATCAACCGATGCCAAACTGTTAGTGTAAAAGAAAGTTTCTTCTTTTGACCAACTCCCATTAAGAGGTTTTTTCTTTTCCCCTTCTTCTGTTGACTCCCTCGTTTCTCACGTTGTTTATAAAGAGGCAAATTTCACAACTGATCATATAAACTTCCCAGAATCTCATCCATGATTCAATATATACGTTGGATCTTTACATAGTAAACATTCATTGAAAAGCATGACTGCAGCAGGTTCTAATTCATACCACAGAATCTTAACAGAAAGAAGACTGTTTTTAAGTAGGGAAACTTCAGTGATTACTTGAGATCTAAGATGATGTTTTAGTAGGGAAAGAAACATAAAATAAGAGTACTGTCCAACTAGCTTAGGTTCCACATTTCCACCAGCTATTTAACAAGGTGAAACAACCATTAGGGTCATATATTTGATCCCATCTTCTTTGTGAGGTTCCAATACGGTTCTGTTAGAGCTAGCGAAACTCCTGAGTCACAGGAGAACAATATTTCTTCATCTTCCATACCTGATAACAATTTCAGTTGGTCTGTCACAGCTCGTGAAAAAAAACATGCTTATACAACAAAATGTCCAACAAGTTTCCTTCATCTTAAAGACAATCACTAAATGGAACAAGAACATAAGGCGATATTTCAGTAGCAAATTCCCTCAGAGTTGATGCTAAATGCTTTTGTTCTTGTACTTGCTAAATAAAATCAACAGATGCCAAACTTTACCATCATCCTCAATCCCAAGATGTTCCTCATTGTCCGTCGCAGGTCTGGTGGTGGACAATTAATCCTCTTTGAGGATGATGGTAATGAAGACATGAATATAATTTGCTTCATTCGAAGTTTCGAACTATATGGATAACACAGCTCACTTCAGCTTTTCTTGCGATAAAACTAGAAATATATAACTTGAATGCTGAACTGGGATCAAGTTGAAATATGAGAAAAAAAAAAAAAAACAAAACTTAAAAGAAAACATCACCCCAAAACCAGTCTAAAAGAGAGCCAAATGTCTCTTCAACAAATCTCCTCATACTTGAAGGCACTCTACTAACTGTCTTGGCTATATGAAATCAACTGATGCCAAACTTTCTGTGAACCTGAAAGGAGCAGCAATCGGAGACATGTTGGTGACTGATACTTGGCCAGCTTCGGTCTCAAACTTGTTCCCAAGTTTCTGCCGCAGCTCAACTGGTGGGCATTTAATCCTCCTCAAGTGATTCTTTTCTAAGTTGTATCTACATAATTGTCTTTCCGATCCTGGAACCAAAATAATTTCATTGGGATTTTTAGTGTGAAGAGGCACGATAACTCCGTAAAGAGTGAACAATTTTGTCCAAGATTGTTTCACCCCGTACTCTCTCATAATGAAAATATCCCCTCTGCGAAACATGGAAGCACTTTTAGACATGCAAAGGCATCCATATAAAAGAGTGAGTCCAAAATAATAGGCAGGAGATCCATCACTAGGTTCATGTTCGTCAGGCATTGGTAATTCCCTAAACTGGTTTATCTCTTCGTCAAAATACACGATCAACATTGATGCACCAATTTCCCTTTCCACGATCCAATGTAAATGGCCGCCAACCAAAACTCCCGAGTAAGAAGAAATAGAGGGTCTGGCTACCTTATAAGGAAAGCTAATATCTGTCCAGGTTTTTCCCGATCTTAAGCTCACAACAGAAGCATATACGGATCCAACAGGAGGAGGATCATTAGCCATTAACACTACTTTGTAATCGTTAGCTTTTTTGTCATAGCAAAGTCCAGAGTTTCTATGGACTCTGCTTAAGCTAATCTGTCGAACTCGATCAGCCAAAACGTGGAGCTGGTGAACAAGACGACAACAACTGGTCATCGGATTCCATAAGTACATTCCATTGTCCGTCAAAAAGAGTACCAAACCATTACAACTACCGTATAAATCAAACCTGGAATGGTGGTGATAATGGTAGGGACGAACGTCATCAACCGGATCAGGAAGCTTCACCATTGAAAGATCATCATCGATTGAATAGAAATACAGCTGGTGCTTATCAAAAGATGAGCTCGCGTAAGGCACGTAGCCTACAATTACCCGATCTCGTCCAGTGCAAGAGAGAGTGAAGTTCGGGTTTGATATAAGCTCTTTCCAAAATTTGCAAACACATTTAAATCGCAACAGCGTCTTCACGGGTAATCTGCCAAGTATCTCAGCAATGATATCCTCTGGAAGTTGAACATGGACAGCCAAGACAAAATTCTTCCTTCCTTTTTTCATCTCTCCACTTGATGTTAATGCGGTCTGTAATTTGGAGGGAAACTTTTCTCAGAGGAATAAAACCAAACAGCTCAAGTGCGTGCGAAAAGAAAACGGCCGAAACTAAGTCCGCAAGATTCAATACCAGGCTGAGCAGTTTCTACGTACTGAATTCAAATCGGAACCCTCATCCGTGGGAAAGAAGCGGAAATGATTTTAACAGTTGAATTGAACCCTCACAAACCGGAATAGGTAGAGTTTTGCATTTCTACTTTTTGTAACAAGGGGACGGTCAAAGAACGAGGCATTTACGCAGCACAACAAAATTAACGTGGACTTTTGGGCCATATTACCTCAACCTCGTGGAAGGCTTAACTTAAATAGATTAGATTTTCAAAAATGTTTTTTCTTTTCCCCCTAGTTGGGAATACTTTTCGTTTTTAATGTATCAAATGGATGAATAGTTTGTTTCCACTAAATTCTCTCATTTCAATTTTTAAAAATTTTTTTTAATCAAAAGACTTGCTAATATATTATTAATCATAATATAATATTGTGCAACTCTAATATACTCCATCTTTCATACTAATAATTTTAATAATAAACATGATTGAAAATTAATACTCCTCCGTCCAAAAATTATTGTCCAGTTTGGATTTTCACTTTTATTTGAATTTGCACCATAACTTCAAATTCAAACTGCACAATAATTTTAGGACGGAGAGAATACTAATTAAGTTTCTCATTTTAAACTGAAGATTTATAGGTTTGCTCGCTTGATTGTTGACATAACTAATTGAGTTGAGTAATTCGAACTTTTTAATTTTTTCTTTCATCTTAATTAGATGATGCCCGAGAGCCTCCCTCTATATTGATATTGTGTTAATGGATAAATAAATTGCTAATTTGAAGAAAATTAAATTGGCGTATGATTTGTACCAGGACGTCTTCATTTTAAGCCAGCTAAATGACCATATTAAAATTTGAAAGTTTACTGGAAAAACAATACAAATATAAAAATTCAATGTGCGAAAAAGCTAGTAATAAAAAAATCATCCAAGAGATTTGATAGTCACAAATCAAACATTTTAATAAATAGTGGATTTAAATATATAAAGAATAATTCAAAAAAAAATCACGTCATTTCTAGTACAGACTAAAGATAGATCATCACTGAATCAGAGATCGCTATATTCAAAAGGAATAATCGAAGAGAAAAACTCTAGTGAATCATCGTTGGCTAATTCATAGAGTTGAAAGCAGTAAAGGAAATTAATTTGTTGTGTTATCACTTGGATTATATATTTGATGTAAAAGTTAATATAGTGAAGTAAAAAACATAATAACAAAGAGTAAATACTACTACTATCTGAAGTTATTTTATATCTGATGTAGAATCCAAAGAAACCACATGGGTTACTGAGGGGCCCCGTTTAGTAGCACACATAGCCCCCAATTGCTCCGCCAATTTCCAGTAATGTTGCTTTTCAGGCTTAGAACCCGGCTTTAACACCCCACTGAACACAATCTTGCAAAAGTACTTTAATCTGCAATATAAATTAATTTGGGAGGCGGGAGGATGACACAGTTCTTGAATCATTTCCTTAAAGAGTTAACAACACTGTTCCAAGGTTCAGGAGAGGAGGCTGCAATGTAACAAAAAAGAAAATTAACTGACAATTCTATAGCTCCAGGCATCATAGGATGATTAAAAATTGAAGTACTGATTGAATTCTCTTACTTTATCCTAATATTTCGATACCGATGCCGATGCCGATTAACATAACTGGATCCTTTAAAAACCTGATGAACCTACTTGCAGAATCATACTAAAGATCTAAGGGATAATATGCCTTTTGGTGTAATGTATCTTTGTACACGTTTAAGCAAGGAAGAAAAAGTTAGATTGGTGGAGACTAACCACCAGATGCGGGTATCAAGATAATCTCTACACTTGACCTATAAAAAGAAACAAACATCAAACAGATAAAAAAGCAAAGGTGAATCACATTGCTTGATATAAAAAGTGTAAAGAAATACTAAGGAAATATAGGGGTTTAGGTGTTTCCAAATGTTTTGATAATCTCATTCATGAAAAACTTTCGATTGTTTGAAGAAGGCTAACTATAGACCAAAATGTGTTAACTGCGAGTACACCAAAAAAATCAAAATCTCCCATAATCCAATACACCATAATAAGCAGCATGTGAGACTGACGAAATGCAGATTATCAGGCTCAACAACTGCGTGTGGAATGCTTGATTGGTGCACATTATTCAGTTGCCATTCAATAAAACTGGGAAGCGATATTCAAGAGATCCAAGAAGAAGATTGGTAATAATAAAGAAAATAATCCTGAATTTCAAGTGTATCTGCATTAATTTTCCGATATTACTTTTGTTCATGCAAGCATTCCTTCAAGAAACTGGAATGTGATGTTTCAGTCCTAAGAATCAACCACAAATCCAAAGCAACATAGCATTGTACTCATGGATTAAATATAGGATACTAATATTACTTACTTGTTTGAAGAATAGGATTTCTTACCCTTCGTCATTATTTTTTCTAATGTACCCGCACTGAAATTTCTGATACATCACATGAGAAATTTGCAAACTGTAAAGGAATAAGAAAGAAAATTAGTATAGAATTCTATTTATTTTATATATAAACTCTTAATTCATATTGTTATACTCCGTACCATTGTTTTACATTGCGTTTCATTCATTGCGAAAGTACAACCAAAACCTATAATCAAGCAACATTATTAAAAAATTTATTGAAATCAATAAAATAATTAAAGACAAAGTAAATCAAATATTACCTTTGACGATGTCAATGAATGACGGCGTATCTTCCCAAATCCTTTTTGTTGTCAATGAAGATGTTGGATTTCTAATCAGACCGGATTTTTGCGGGCCATTATTTTCAGACCCGAATCGCCCTTCATCCCTGTCATGGCGACCCGAATCTGGCCGAGTCTCGACGAGATTCTTGTTTTCCTCCTGGGTTCGAGCAGATGCGTCGCCCAACTCCGCCACCCTCTTCTCTAGGCTAGCTTTTCCGGTCTGAATGAGATTAAGATCATCTTTAGACACTTTGAACTCCTCCTATACATCCTCCAATTCCTTCTGGAGAGCGGAGCAGGATTCCTCTAGATCCGCAAACTTTGCCTCCGCAACCCTTAACTTCTCTTCATAAGCAAGAGAGGTAACTCGATGCTCTTCCAACTTGCGGATCAGAGTGGTACACAAGTCGGCAGTTTAAAACAATAAACACACACATATATATATATATAAATAGTAAATACAAGATATAAAAACGAAAACAGAACAAACATACGCACATCAAAGCTAATTATTACTTAAGTAGTCAAAAAGCAGTATAATCGGTTACCTCCAGGGAAGCAAAGCTATCCCTCTGAGCCACATCTTCATCCTAGAATAGTCTTGTAGGCTGGGGGGAAGATGTTAACAAACCAATCCTGCCGGAGATAACAGCTATTAAGTATAGATCCGGAATGTACACGCTGGAAACAGGGGCGAAAAGGTTCAATCCCTCTAGTGGATACGCCTGATGAAATCACAGGGTTAGCAGGGGGAACAGAAGGACCTTCATACACCTCTTTAGCGGGAAATCCAGTAGATGGATGTCCTTTTTCTTCGCTATCCTCAAAAACACTCTTAGAAGCTAATGGCTTCGGAGAAAACACTTCCGTACTTGACAAAATTTCAACGTCAGGTACCACGTCAGTCATCTTCAGTTTCTTAGAACTCCCTTCAGTGCCAGGCTCCTTCGTATCCTCACTAGGAGAGCTGGAGTCTGCAGTGCTACCTACGGAAGAATTTTACACCCGAAGGATCCAAATTCTCATAATCTAAAAATTCTACACCAGAAACTACTACCAAGGAAGATATATAAAAAAATCAAAATCATCTTTAAAAATGTAAAAAAAAAAACATACAGAAACAATTGTATACAAATACAACAAAGATAATAAATATATTAATAGAAGAAAACCACACAGTAGCGATAATTTATCTACCCTTTCCGGATGAATCTCGAAACTCCGGCACCTTTTCCGGTTCCCCGAAATTGCTCATCCTGTAATATACAAGTGCAACCTCTGGCAAAACTTTGCCAAACACAGAGTGACCCGAATAAGCTTGGATGACTAAGTTCGAAAGTTTTGGAATTTTCGGCTCATCCTTTACCGGTTGATCCGGATCTCTCCATATCATATTCCCTTCAACAATACTATCTCTCACAAAAAAGAAGCTATTCCGCCAACTTTTAAAACCATCCGAAACACCCCGTATAATATCTGTTTCCTTAGAACGTCTAGCAAGAGTAAACCAATCTCCAGAAGGAGTAAGTTTAAAGAAATATGACATAACATAAAAGGATGGTTAAACTGCCAAGGCCCTACTAAGAAGTTCATAACCCAGAACGCAGGCTACAAAGTTAGGGATAACTTGAGAAATCGAAACACCATAACGATTTAAAACGTCCAATAAAAAACGACTAAAAGGAAATCACAGGCCAATATCCAAAAATTTCGTGTAAATACCGATCATCCCTTCCAGAGGGTCATCAATCGTCCACCCTAACCCAGAAACAGAGGCACGAAAATCTTGCGGTATCTTGTAATAAGTGTTGATTGACTCAAGTTGAGCCTCTGTCAAATTAGAAGTAAAAACACTAATTCCTAATTTGGGGTTCGACGATTGAACATTTGCCCGCACCCGGGGCTTTTTCCCCGCAGATATAAGGGACGAGCGGGAATGATTTGGTACCGGAGGTTTCATAACTTTTTGTTTCTTCTTGTTACTACCAGACACTTTGCATGCAAAAAGACAAATCAAACGCAGAAATGTAAACCCCCAAACATAAATACTGCAAGAAATAACAAACAAAAATCAGAATTATAAAAGAAGCCCTCATAAAATCAAAACAGAAAAAGTAGAAGCCCTGAGTCGAAAGTGAATTTCTACACTTACTCGGATCTATGAGGGGCAGCAAAACTTCCTAACGAAAAGAAACAAGCTTTTCACCTTCCGCACATCCCTTCTACTTTGGGGGGAAGAAAGAGAGGAAAGAAGATAAAAGAGAAAAAGAAAAATCTTTAAAGAAGAATTTTATAGAACCTTTGAAAAGACAGGCTATTAAAAGGGACTCGACTTTTTGAAATTTGAAACGGTTAAAATGATAAAACCCCACGCTTTGAAATTTGAAAAACCATGATGACACCTACTCAAACCAAGAGACAAAAAGAGTGGAGGAGAAGTTTTTTCCAATCCAGACGCAACGTTCTGAAGGCGAACCGTCACATCTGGATTGCGGGGCTAGTTGATGGGACCCAGTCAAATAAATTCAGGGTCAAACTATGATTAAGACCCGAGTTAGTCAAATGCGCAGTGGGTTTGAAGTCGGGTCGTCCACTTGACACAATGAGACCCACGATTACTATTTATAGTTACAAAGGGAAAAGTACCGCTTTAGCCTAATTGATCTGCAACCACCACTTTCGGTAAAGAAGACAGAGATGGCAGATCAGAGAAGCAAACCCAGCCGGAGAAAGACAATAGACTCGACAAAAGGAACTTTGACCCCAGTATCACATACTCGCTAGATGATCCAGACCCTTGATCTTGATCCTGATTCCTCTTATATATACATCACTATGGCCTCTAAGGTTAGGGTTATAACATTACTACTCTTAGCCGATTCTATTCCCACATCATCTAACTTAGGCATCGGAATATTTTTCCGGGGCTTGACCCGGGACTTACCCTAACAATCCTTGTTTTGCAGGAGAAGCCGGTATCCATTGACTTTTGGTGGTGGATAATTCAACCTCTATCAGGCCTGAACCCTCAAAAGACACGAGAAGCTTGCGCTTGGGCCGATAATTTATTTATACATAGTTTAACTGTTGTCCTTTATAAATAACTTCATCGAATTAGTCAAAAGTTTATTCGACTATTACGAGGCTTAAATAGTCTTTCAAAATGAATTCACATTGCATGTGCTGTGTGGTTATTTAGTCATCTAGTCTAGGAATATAATGTTTTCAGTAATTACTACAAAAAAAGAGAAACTAATTTTATATCGAATTAACAAATCTGATTTAGCAAGTCGAATATTGAGAAGAATCATACACTGACTTGGTACAACTGCTATACTCAATATTTAGCCTCGAAATGTGTGCATGTTCGTAATAAGTAGAGGATAAAAAGGGAATTTTCTTTTTTTTTTTTTTGGTTTACTTATTCAAGCAACAAGGTAATGAATCAGTATCTGCTTTACATCAAAAATTAACCGATTCAAACGAGGCCTAAAAATAAGTATGGTGAGTCCCATCCACCCACCACGACCATGAGGTTGAGACAATTTACAATCTGGAACATGAAATTAATGACATATAAATGTTTCAAAATTAAACTTAAACGGTTTGTATCAGCAACTGCTCCCTTCAGTCCTTATTAATAAGGAGTTTTCATTTAGTGGATTGAGTAGTACACGAAATTACAACCAAGTCACTTCCGGACCACAAGCCCCCACAATTCAAAACTCAGCCTAATATCTTGTTATTTTCGTCTCTCCATTCCAAGTTATGAAAACCCATCATCAAAACATCCTCCTCGCCCTCCCACATTTATGCATGAGATAGTCTCCTGTCAATTATGATACCATACATAATTAATAATGCTACTAAATAATTGAAACCAACTTGCTGACACTTTTTGCCCATTCTTGCCAGCCTTTATTCAATATGTTTCAACGGTTTTTATGATCAGACTCACAATGACTAGACCATTGTTAGTTCAAGACTTGCTAGCACAAGCAACAAGTTCAATTACATATAGATCTACACGATTCTCATTTTGATACCACTAATTGAAAAAGTATATGCATGTAATGTTCCTTATAGAAGAATATGTTGCGTGGAAGTTTCCAAATTGCTACCATATAATCAATATAGTGATAAATAATTCCTAATTTAAATAGTCAATGAGATCAAATATAGGCCGTTTCGAAACATTCAGGTATAAACATTAATGTCCATTTCTCTTCCAAAAGTGAAAAGATCCAACAGAAAAATTAAAACACATCTGCTACATATCCTAGATGGCTCTCAATGATGGATGTATATATACCATAAGAAAGTGGCGTGTATGATAAATGTAGACTATCCCATATCGATGGACTAGTATTTAAGTGTGTGGAGAGTTGGTGTCCTTCGAAAAACATCAAAGCCATAGTTACAAAAACATAAAACAAAGACCAAATGATGAGCTCTTCCGAGCTAATGGAGATCCTTATCATGCCTATACAAACATAGCTTCAATCACCTCCAGCATTTTTTATTCTGATAGCCCTTCTTCCTTTTTTATGGTTTTACTATCAATTTTATTGGTGTAACAAACAAGAAAAAAAGAACAGCTCCATACCAACAAACTGGCCTATCGTTGGCATGCTTCCAGCCCTTATTCAGAACGCTCATCGGATTCAAGATTATGGGACTGAAGTCCTTATTGAAACCGGAGGAACTTTCGAGTTCAAAGGCCCATGGTTTGCCAATGTAGACTTTGTTTTTACTTGTGATCCGGCAAATATCCACTACATCTTGAGCAAGAACTTTCGAACTATCCAAAGGGTCCCGAATTTCAGAAAATGTTCGACATCTTAGGTGATGGCATCATCAATGCAGATGGTGAGTTATGGGACCATGGGCTACTCTCCTCATAGCTAATTGGTTTTGAGGTAGAACCCCATGGACGATCTATAAAATCCATAGGAAAGTTACTTTCTCTATATTTCACCACCCTGATTTCAAGAAAATTCTGGAGGAAATGGTTGTGGCCAAAATCGAGAAAGGGCTTCTCCCATTGCTTGAAAATTATGCGAATCGAGCTTCACAGATAGATTTGCAAGATATATTTCAGAGGTTCACTTTTGACTGCTTCTGCAGATTGTTTCTTGACCATGATCCAGGCAGCTTGTCCTTGGAGTTACCATACATTCGAGCTCAATATGCTTTTAGTGATGGTGAGAAGGCCATCCTTCGGAGACACTGGTTGCCGGAAACTTGCTGGAAGCTTCAAAAATGGTTTGGAATTGGGAAAGAAGGGAAGCTAACAGAGGCTTGGGATGAAGTTGATCAGTTCATCTATCCTTGCATTGAGAAAAAATTGGAAAAACTTACTGCTTCTTCCACTAATAAGCCAGATGGGATCGTTCAATTGGAAATCAGCATTCTAAATTCCTTCATTCAGGCCTACAAATCCACTAGCTTGAGTTCAAAAAGTTATCCTAAGATCACAAAGACATTTATTAGGGATGCTTTTTTGAGCTTGCTTGCCGCCGGAAAAGACACCATTAGTACATCTCTTTCTTGGTTCTTCTTTCTCCTTGCAAAAAATCCTTTAGCAAAAGAAAAGATTCTCCATGAGATTCAAACTAAAATATCATGCTGGAAGCATGATCAGAAGGAGGAGGATCATCATTGTCATCATCCGTGGAATCTGGTAATTTTTAGCTTGCGTGACGCTGAACACCTTGTATACCTCCATGCTGCTTTATGTGAAACCCGTAGGCTTCATTCACCAGTCGCTCTAAACCACAAAGCGCCACGAAAAAGCCGATGTTCTTCCCAGCGGTGTATCTATTAATGCCAACTCGAAGATGATTCTGTTCTTCCACTCCATGGGAAGAATGGAGTCCATATGGGGAAAAGATTGCTTGGAATTCAAGCCTGAGAGATGGATTTCGGAGAAAGAAAGAATAAAACACCAGCCATCTTTCAAGTTCGCGGCATTTAACGCGGGACCAAGGGCTTGTTTAGGAAAGGAGATTTCTTTTGTTGTGATGAAAATGGTCGCAGCCTCCATTATTTACAATTTCCAGGTGGAAGTTGTGGCAGATCATCCTGTCACCCCTTGTGATTCTATCGTTATGGGGATGGAATATGGTTTGAAAGTCAAGCTTCATAAAAGAATCTAAAGATTTGGACGAAGTATTTTCTATATATAAATTGAAAATGTCTCTCCTAAACAAATTTATTTTTTCATTCCCATGTTCCGTTAATAGATTTGAGTATTAATATCAGAAAACACTCTTTTTACAACTAAGAAAACGATAGATAGAAAATCATCTTATTAGATTAAAAGAATCTGTTGAAGGCTTGAAGCTAGCCCGTTACAAATATGCTCAGTTAGGCGGCCAAATTACTAAACCAACGCCTCTAACATAAGCAAAGTCCTAAATAATCAGAATTAGGTCATAATTTATTTCTACTTGCACTTAGATAACCTTATGTTCCTTAGAGATCTTGACTATAAACAACTGGAGGGCTCAATCAAACCAAGGGAATTTCCACCAGCATTGGCACATTGGGATTTCGCTTGCTGATTTTTGTATTTCAGTTTCACATCTTCTAGTGTTATTCCTTTACATGGATTCTTCTTGCTGCAATCAAATTTAACTGCCACTTCTGTAGCTGATGTTCCATGAATATCTTGATACATAACGTCATTTATTTGTACTCCCGAAACCTGTAAGAATAGACACATTTAGTGTAATAACAAAAAATATCATCACTCTCATTTCTGGCAGCTTTCCCGGCGTTACAGGAAGGGAGATTTATGTAGTCAACCAAAAGGGAAAATAGTTTATTTAAACAGGATTAACTTGTACCTGTCCAGGGCAGTTGATTTGATCTGGGCAGTAATTTTGGTCAATGACAATAGGGTTTTGCACATTGATCATTGTGGCATGTTGGAAAACAACATGATTAACAAATCCTTTACTTGGTCTTGCCCATGATTTAATCCTCACACCATTTTGCGTATTTATGAATGTGACCTTTTTAACTGTCACATTTTGTACACCTTCTTCTTCGAAATCTCTTCCTAGACTCCCAATGCTGCACATTTTAAGTGAACAATAAGGCATTCAGGAGATCATAAAAATGGAACAAACTATAAATGTATACATCTTGAGTTCATAGAGTTGCTTTATTATTATTTACCTGATGCCATGGCCAGGACCACAAATAACGTCTTCAATAGACAAATTGCTTGTTCCAGGGCCAATGGACACGCAATCATCTCCCGTACTGATTTTAGAGTTCAAGATCTTTACTCCGGTTGAGAATTGGACATGAATACCATCGGTGTTGGGGCTGTTTCCGGCAGCCATGACTTTCACACCTTGCACCGTCACGTTGGTGCATCCATTGAAGACAATGTGAAATAGTTGGCTATTAAGAGAAGTTAGCCCATATGTTTTGATGTTGTTTGAGTTGGTAAACCCTAGTGTCTGCACATAACCATGTACTTATATTAGTCATTAGAGCCATAATTTCCATATTATTATTAAGAATATTAATCATTCGACATTTTGATCACCTAACCAAATCAACTCGTGAAAAAATTATTTTCTTTTCATTTCTGTAAGGAATAGCAAAAGCCATAATTTACTGCCCATTACAATTACACATGAATAAAAAGTAAACTTGGAAAGGTGAAAAGGTAATTAAAAAGCTAGAGAAAAGAAACCACCCATTTCGCCCACTAACTTCATGAGTTATGCTCATAATTCACATGTGCAAAACTCCAAAAGTCTTTAAAAGAAACTAACATTTCAAGTGTAACCGTTAATAATCTTGTTTAGTGGCTCCACTCGTGGTGGTTTAAAGTGGCAGAATATGTTAACCTAAATGTCACAAGGAAAAACATGAATCCATAAGAATGAGGAAAATTGATTGCTTACCGAAACACCGGTTGGACAACTCTTGCCGGAGGAAGCTTTGCAAGCCCAGAGACCAGTCCCCTTGCCATCAAGAATGCCGCCACGAATCGAAACTCCATCGACACTCTTGAATTCAATCCAGAACGCAGTACTCCCAAGAACATTATAATCAGAAGGAGCAATAATGGAGCCATCAATCCTCAAGGTTATAGCCTTATTCCTGCATGGTCCAGAAAATTCAGCTTGTTGGTTCACCAAAAACCTTCCCTTTGGCACATAAATAGAGGCCGGTTTGGAGGAGTTACAAGCGGCAGCCCATGCGCTCGTTAGGGCCGCCGTCGCATCGGTTTTTCCGTCTGGTTTCGCTCCCAAAGACATGACATTGATGTATGTAATTTTGTTCTCAACAGCGTTGGATAATATTGATTGATTGACGAACAAGAAAAGAAATGTGACAAGAAAAAGCTTGGTGGGCTGCTCCATTTTCACCTTAATTTAAACAGTATGTATATGATTTGCTTAAATATTTAGTTGAGTTTAATAGATTTGGATGGGGAAATGAAGCAGTTCGATGGGTATATATAGTTGGAGTTTGGGTAGCAAATTTAAAGATGAGACGTGGGGAATGTTAGGAGCCAATTTGAACAAAAAAAGCAAGCAAAACCCCGCCGAAACGCATATTACTTGAACTATTATGCTCAGTTGATTACTTCAGACGTAAAATTTGTGTAATTTATGGTTGAAGTGCATGAATGTTTCGCTATATTCATGATCTTGTACTTTGTTAGGAATAATCCACACAAAAAAAAAAAAACGAAAAGAGAAAGAAGTCAAATTAATTTATATCCGATCAAGTATTTTACAATCCACTAATTAAATAATGTAATAATCAGATGCAGCAACATTGACATTCTTTAATCTTAAGCTAGGTGGCCTTTTTTGTAGACATCTTCGGTGAATCAGAATTATATCCAATCCGTAAACGCGCATTAGCCAACAAAGTAGAAACTACGGAATTGACAATAAAGCGTTTCTGATTCATTTTTGGCTGCTAATTATTTCCTTTATTTGGTGATAAACTCAAGCGATAATTAATTATATCCGTACAGTCACTTATTGTTGAGACAAATAATTCCACATCGAGACCCTGAAGAATCTATCACCTATTTATAAGTTTAAAAGATCATCCTACTTATTGCCAATTGATTTGTCTTTTCATCAAAGCTTTCTACCTAAAGAAGCTACCGCCAAACGGCTCGTATGAAGAAGTTTGACAAGGTTTGTACAAAAAAGTTGTGATTTTAAAAGGAAGACTTGAGAAAATGACTTGTTGTTTATGATTAACATCATGCACTGAATTTGGAATTCCTTGTTGTTTAATTATCTCCCAGACAGGCGGATCGACATCGGATGCGTATATACTGAAAAAAACAATCTCCCAAACGCGACAGAAAATAAATAATGTACAAATTAATATATTAGAACTTTTTTAATATGGCAAAAAAATTCTTTTATTTGGACGGATATGAATTGTAACTTACCTCAATGTTTATTCCGGAACCTAAAAACAACCCTGAATTAATAAATATGCAGTATTGCGTCTTGTAGGGTGTTCACAGTTTGGCACAATCTGCTACCGTCCAAACCAGTCATCAGTTTGGATTAACAGACGGATTATAAGTGAATTTTTAATTCGGTGGATTTGAAATATTAAAACCGATCATATCAGTCTGGATTACGGTTTGACACTGTTAAATCGTTTGTCAAACCAGACCGAACCGTATATATACATATATTATTAAATAATAATATAATGGTTTTGTATATATCGCTGCGGATGATAACTTATAACGAAATTGTTAATTTGCCTGTATGACTTTGTTGTTCCCGCTACTCTTAAATTTGGTTAAAGTTAAACATGACCACGGTTTCAGTTTGATCCGGAACCGAACCGAAGGTTCCGGTTCTAAACCGTAACCATTATTTATGCTTATAATAATCGTAACCAAAATCATTTTTTTGGTTCGGTTCAGGTTCTCCATTTTTTAGAACCATAACCGAAACTGGCGGTTCGGTTATGGTTTGAACCGAAATTAATAAATATAATATCTACTAAATAGTAAAAATTACCTTATTAATTAAGGAATATATAAAATCACTCATTAATCCTTTAAATATTTTGCATGAAAAAGTACATTTTGAGTTATATTTTTCAAAAGTGAATGATGGTCCAATTTATCATGTATTTTGTTGTATTGAAACTAGGCATGATATAAAATTAATCATCTTTCGAGTTAAAGTATTTTTGCTTGAATTTTCTTTATGAAATTTGTTCAAAATATTATTTCAATTATTAATTAAAACCTAAATAGAATCAAAAGTGCAAATAAAACCATAATTATAATTGAAACCAAAATTAGAACCACAACCGAAACTGTAATCAAAACCGAAACCGAAACCGAAACCATAACCGCCTTGAACCGTAACTATTTAAAACTATCTATGAAATGATTCGGTTATGGTTCCACATATGTTGGAACCATGAACCGACAGTTCTAAAACCGTAACCGGTGGTTCTGGAACTGTGATCAGGGCTAGTTGAAGTCGCAAGTTCAAGTCCCCCTATGACTAAATTTTTTTTCCCCCAAAAAAGCAAAAAAAAAAAAAAAAGTCCAATAACAAAAAAAGTCCAGATTTTGGCCCAAAATGGAAAAGTTTAATTAAAAATCCAAACCGCCAATCCGCCCAAACCAATCCGTTCATAACGGAACGGATTGAATTGGTCCGGCTTAGACATCAAACTGGTTCAGTTACGACTTAAAAAATTTTAAAACCGTAGTGAACAGTTTGATTACAAATTACTATCAATCCGGACCAATCTGGTCCATGAACACCCCTAGTGTCTTGCACATAGAAGAGGTTGTTATTCCACATTCTATGCTAAAGTCTAAAGATTTTAAGTGGAATTTGTTTTTCCTCTGTGAGCATTATGTTGATGATTATTAATTGACCAATAAGAGTGTCACGTATTGATTTGGGACAATTTCTGAGTGAAGTGCTCCAATTTGTCATTTACCCTTGATGAAAACAAAACTTCTTTTTTTTGTTTTTTCCATTAATAATGTTCTTTATTTAGTTTCCACATTTCGTGTTATGACAAGTTTTTTAGTCTTTTATCATATCGATGTCAAATTCAATCGAGTAATTTGTACTTGTATCTAAATCTCTCACTATCTCAGCGACAAATGGAGGTGTGTAACCAAACTGGAGGATAAATAAAAAGTCTAGTGTTTATTGTTTATACATAAGAGGACATGAAAACTTTAATCTATAGTACTTAATTAAAGCAACATACGAGAATGACACATGCCAACTCTACAATGAAAATTTTCCCGCCAAAGGTCTTTTTTAGTACAAAATGAAAACTGACACGTGGTACTCTAGATTTTCAGAAAAAAGGCAGCCTTGAACAAACCCCAAAAGGTAGCATTAGGAAACGCAAGCTTCAATTACTTCTGATTTTTTTTTAAAAAAAGCTTACTGTAGGCAGTTTAAATTTTGAAAAGATAATAATAAGAAAAACTTTAAATGTAAAGAAGATAATAAGGAAAAACCTTATTTGCACAAAATTAGGGAGAAAAACACGTTTCTCTGTAATTTGCAATGACTAAATCAGAATCATTATAATATAGGGATCCTAGGTACACCTAGCAAGGTGTACCTAGTGTGAGTCTCACGCGACCCAAAAATGAGCATCTCTCAATATTTACAGTAATCCCATTTAATTCCCCATTTTTTGGGATTTTTAGAATTTCAAATTCCACCATTTTCTCCTAATTTTCAGCCATTAACCATATCCATCTTCCACCCCATTCATGACAATCCGTCTCAAACAAAAAAAAAAAACTAAAAAACTAAATTTTCTCTGCAGCGATTTCGACAGAAAACCTCTCGTCGGCTGGATTTTTTGGGACGAAATCAGATTGTGCATCAAATCCAGTGAAAATTGTGGAAATATACTCTGTTCAAGATGCGATTTAAGGTAATACATGAACAAAATTCATCCACGCAGAAACCACCGATTGAGGATCTGAACCGAACAGAAGCAGTTCGGAAAGTGAAGATGAACGAAGGTAATACTATTAATCTTTTGGACTATTGATGCGTTTTTTGATGGGTTTTGTAGATTTACTGTATATGCATTCGATTATGCATATCTGTTCATCAAAGTTTAAAATTTTCTTCGTATTCAACCATTGGTGTTTTTTTTTTTTTTTTTGGGTTCTGTAGATGTAAGGTATATTCATTCGATTGACGATGTTTGTTCATCAATTTTAGAGTTTTGTTCTTCTATTGGATGTTGTTTTTTCTGGAAAATTGGTAGATTTTTGTATTATTAATCAGGTTGGTATAGTTATTTATTGTTGAAATTGTCATATTCATCGTTTACCATAACTATGTAGTATTATTTTTTTGGTAAATTAGTAAATATTTGTATTATTTATCAGTTTGGTATAATTATTCATTGCTGAAATTGTCAGATTCATCGTTTACCATAACTATGTTGTATTGTTTTTTTGGTAAATTACTAGATCTTTGTATTATTCATCAGTTTGGTATAATTATTCATTGTTGAAATTGTCGGATTCATCGTTTACTATAACTATGTAGTATTTTTTTTGGTAAAAAATTCATCACATCTGACAAGTTATCATGGAATTTGTAAACATATTGTAGCATGAGCGAAGAATATCAGACAGAATCTGAAAGAAGCATGAGCGAAGAACAACAATCAGAAGCCAAAAGAAGCAAGATATCTGAATCTGCAAAAAAACCAAACCACAATAAGTGTAGACATTGATATAAAGGGTTATTCGGCAGTTTTGTAAACTAGTATTTTTTTTGGTAAATTAATAGATCTTTGTATTATTTATCATTTTGGTACAATTATTCATTGTTGAAATTACCATATTCATCAATTTGGTATAATTACTCATTGTTGCATATCATCTACCTCATGAATTTTTTATTCCTTGTTTGCTGTATACAAATTGTTTCCAATATACAACTCCAGATTTGGACATTTTCCAATGTTTGAACCTTTTTATTGAAAAAACATTGCACTAGAATTATAAGCAGCAAAAGCCTCTTTCTCAGAGTTGAAACATCGTCCAATTATTCATCAATAAGAACTCGTTATTCATTAATTAACGTAAGATATTCATCATAATAACGTAATAAGATAATACAACATCGGTCAGAAAACAACAATGAAATTCATGTTCATCATTAACCATATAATATGCATTATCTTACACATGTATATTCATCAATAAAACGAATACATTCTATATCAATCATCTTTCAATAATTGCATAACAATATTCATTGTCTAAACGTTGGTTATTCATTACTGGGAAAATACACATTGATTCTCCATATTCATAAGTCTCAATGATTAACCATAGTCAATTTTACTAAAA